GGGGGGGGGGGGGGGGAGTGGCATATGATAACATGAAGATGTGCCTAGGTGGCCATATAGAAGGAAAAGTGACATAGCAACTGGGAGGTGTGTAGATGGAAATGCAAAGTTAGGCACAAGGCATGGTGGTGGACCTGCTTCATTGCTCTCAAACCCTGGTCACTTCTGCTGCTTTTTTGTTGTGGGATGCAGCAGGAGTTTGCCAGCCTTGAGGCACAGTGGAGTAGGAGGATGATTCATACCTAAAGTATGATCAAGTTTTGAATTAAAAATTTAAGTCATGGTTGGACATTTGGATTAAAAAAACCCAGAAACTGTTTCAAACTATCTGTGAAGGAAGATGTACTGAGAGATACCACTAGCTGCTCTGTGATTAATATTGATTGCAACTGTTTGAATCTGTAACTTGCTCATTGTGTCTGGCTGTTACCTGCGCCTTTTGGTGTGAGTGAGGTGGCCTGCTCTGGAGGCTGGCTCAGGGGATGATGCAGTTGCATCTTTAGTTGGTGCAAGTGGCAATAAGTACTGCACATGGTTGTCATTCCTGCACTAACCCAGCTTCTTGCTACACTGTGGTGTCTCATCCAGAGATGCTCTTTTGTGAGAGTCTGTCAGTCCTCCAAGTTAGGAGATGATGGAGGGATGTTTCTCTCCTTCTTTAACAAGACCTGTGCTTCTGTCTCTCAGACAGCTTTTAGGATCTTCAATCTTAGCCCCTCATCTCAAAGTATATAGAGCACATCAACAAACATTTGGGTTCAGATTTGGTGATGTCTTAGGTGTTTCATGAAGAAATATCAAGAGTTGAGTAAGTCCTGACCAAACACTGTTAAAATTTGGTTACTGTATGGATATGTATTATAGGGAGAAAATGCAGAGAAATTACAACATTTCAATTTGGTAGACAAAACTAACATCAAAGCTATGCAAATTCAGATTGGATGCTGAACACACATCTTTCATACTGAGTAACTGTTGAAGTAAAGCATCCTCCAAAAACTCCTTCAGCTCTTGATGTCTTTGAATTACAACTAGGTACCTTCCTTCTGGCAAGTTATTTGTTTTAGCACAGGCACAGTTGGATGATGGCCTGTAGTTTGTTATAGAAAAGGTCAAACTTGATAATCTCTCCATCTGTTCTGGAATTAAATCTTATGGATAAATAAGAGTTTTTCTTCAGTTTTGTTTGCAAGTAAAAAAATCTTTAGCATTAATTAGCATCAGTCTCTTCCCTTTTAGTATCTTCCGTCTTGTATTTTCATGAAAGATTAATATCTGCTTTTATGAACAATATTAAAATAGGGCTGTTAGCATCCTCAGTGATAGACATCTTTTAAAATTAAATCTACAAAGTACTAAAATTTTCCTTGAGAAACAAAAGGAGCAAATAAAGAGCTGCAGCCATACTGACCACTGGCTGTATTCAACAGCAATTTTACTATTTGGCTGTTCTATATTCTGTCAAAGAGATTTTTATTGTGTGAGTATGCATATGGTGAGGCTGCTGTACAACTTGGGGGCACAAAACTTTGTAGCAGGTAACCAGTAAGGCAAACCAACAAAATGTATCTTTCTGCAATGAAAAACACACATGGTGAGGCTCAAGGGAATTTCAGTTATGATGGGTATTGCTGAGGAATATATATGACATGGGACATACTGGAAATTACTGGAAAACTACCAAAAAGATTCACTTGTGTTGAAGTTTTATTAAGTGTGAACAGGCCCATGTTGAAGTCTGTTTGAAAACCTAGGCCATATGCTGGGTATTGTCAAATCTCAGACTGGTAATCTCTGTTTCATTATAGCAGGTGAGGCTTTCAAAAGATCTCCAGGATTAGGCAATGGGCCCCTCCTGAAAGTAATAGCCAGCATACCCAACTAGCTCAGATCTCCTCTGCAAGGGTGGTTTAGCCCTTTCTCTCAATCATCTTTACTCAATCTATTATTCCAGCCAGGCATCTCTTAACCATTTTGAAAAAATTCACTACACCCAGTCACAGGTAGTAACATACTTACTGAAAGCATGGGAATGTGTGTACAAGAGTGAGGGATGCTAAGTGGTCAGTTTGACATTTGTCATCTGTCTGGGGTACCTTCATCTAACCTCCCATGAGTCTGTAGGGTGCTATCACTCAGGTTATCACTTCCAGGTTTAGAATAAACCTAGCTTGGAGGGGGAAACTGCCTATTCTCGGGGTCTTGGGCATGCACCCTTCTGCATAAATA